AACCAAAACAAAAAAAGGAAAAGAAAAAACAAACTGACAATTTGAAGAAAAAGGTACTTGATCAAATAGGTATTATGGAAGCTTTCCTGTGCACTTGGATGGAAGCATAAATGACACTTGCCTCAGCTTATGTTGTTTGCTAAATTCTGTTCATTGGTAAAACACACCAATAACTGCTCTTTTTTTTGCAGCACCAAAGCAAAGATGTACCAAAGAACATATCAGTAAACAACTACCTTAAAAAAACCAATGTTTTATGAAAAAAGCAACAGAGGTTTCTATAAATTATAATTTTAAAGGAATTCACACATAAACAGAAAAATACAGATTGGTTCTCACATGCTTTGAAACAAGAAGTGGAGTGACTATGAAGAGCTTTTGTATCATGCAGGTGTATTTAGTGCGAAACTGTTTTGTGATGATTGATTATGTCCAGTAGCGTTGTATCTATCAGAAATTTTAAAAAACATTAAATTTAATCTTTTCCTTTAAGGAAGACATGATGAGACTAACTAATAAAGCTATGGGTTTTCAGAGAACTGTGGGCTAGGGAGAGAGCATTTAAATAACAGATATTTGTAAACACATAGCTTTGTGATTTTTTTTCTTCTGAAAACAAATATAAATACGTAACCTAAATAAATTTTATATCTACACACTTAAAAATCATGGAAACAGAGTTACTAACATACTTAGAATCTTTTGGATAAAGATTTTTGAAACCATTTTGAAATTATTTGATAAATATTTCTAAATGTTGTGTCTTCCTGTTTGCTATGAAAACGAATTGACATGAGGGGAGATGGACATTCATTAGCTAAATTACATTTTAAAAGTTTCGAATGAATGGAATTTGGATGGATTTGAAAAAAACGAGAATTATGATTTAGAAACTGTAGCCAATAGAATAGTTCTTTGACTTTTGACTTCTTTTTTGTGAGATTCCAGCCACTAGAACTCAATATACAAATAAACTCTTCTTAGAATTAGACTTTTGAATTGCTATAGCACAAAGATTTTAACAAGAGATTTTTAAAATACTGAAGTATATTCAGCTCCTTTCCTTTTATTTGTGCCATTAGTAAAGTAACATTAAAAATTACTTTGAGCCACTTTAATTTCATCTTTATGCTTTATATTTTAGTTAATAAAAAAGCTAGTATACATGTATTAGAGTATGTGTAGAAATGTTCTTTTTAAATAATGATACATAAACAATTTTGATAGGTCCACCGCTTAACAAATTTTTACAATCAAATGTTTATAATTGTGGTTAAGAAAGCCAACAAAATTTCTCTAAAACAGTTTTCTTTAAAAAAAGTTTTTCATAAGTAATAATTTGTTTTAGAACAATTAAAATGAGAAAAAGAAAAAGAAAATCACTCAAAATTCTACCAACCAGAGATAATCACTGCTGAAACTGTAGCCCATACCCTTCCAGATTTTATGGATTTATTTATCTTCTTTCACAAACATACTCTTAATTTCATTTAAAGCTGTTTTCATTGAGGGCCTTTATACTTTACAGAATTTTTTTTTAAAAAGGAAATTTACATTAAGTTTTGGAACAGAGATCGAAATTGAAAGGAATACTACTAAGAAGCAACTTTGTGCTGTGACAAGGCTGAATCTTCATAATTAATCCTGTCAACTAAAAAGATGCACAATGTGAGTTTTATTTTGGGCAAAGTGAGGACTGCAGCCTGGGAGACAGCATCTCAGATAGCTCTGAGAACTGTTCCAAAGAGGTAGTGAGAGAAGGTCAATTTGTAATTGTCAATTCTGTGTAGGATTATAATATCTATTTTAGACCACCATCTGTCATTTTAATAGCCTTTATCTCGATGTTAAATTGTGGTTTAAATAAGGGATGAAATTACCAAAAAATAGACTGATCAAATGCTGTGGTTTTTGACTTACTTTATCTTCATATGGCCTATGTAATAAGGCAGATAGATAAAGGGAACTAAGATTTTGCAAGGCTTCATTTCTGTTCAGTGTTACAACTATCTGAAACTGATACAATTTGGTGTATAACTAGAATTATTAACCGTGTGTAATTGGATAGAAATAGAACCCAGAGAATGACTATCAGTGAAGTCCTGTATCTTTGGAATCAAGCAGTTATCTTTCAGAGGCGTGGTCCTGAACCTAATCTCATGTAACATTTTTTATCAATGACTAATACTACAAGAAAAAACAGTCATTCACACAGTAAATGAAACTTAGTTGGGAAATGAAAACTAAGAAGAGGAAGTCACATTCTCAATGGCCAGATTAGAATCAAAATGACCTGGAAAATTGGAGAAGTAGTAAGAAGTAAACAAAATGAGTAAGACAGAGGGATGAGCTAAAATAAACAGGGAAGAAAAACAAGTTTCAAAATGAGAAATGGCTAACTAACTATTGGCAAGTTTAGAAAATAACTTAGAGATTTTAAAACAACCTAAGATTAATAATGTAGTATTACAGTTTAAAGAGCAAACATAACAATGTAAAATGTATTTCCTACTAAAATTTACCAAAACTCCTGCTTCCTAGATGAACGTCATTTGCAAACACTAAGAATCTGTGTTTACCAGAAATGCCATTCACCTTAAGAACAAACATGGAGAACACAGCCAGTCAAATGATTGAGATAGTAACACAGGAAAAAACTAGTTTCACTGTAAGATGTTAAGTCTTGGAGAAAGATGATTTTTTTCTCCTGAAAGAGGTGGAGTAATTGAATAATGATCTTTAAATAGGAACATATATGGACAGTTATAAAGATAAAAGACTGTTAGATTCAGGTTCTCAAGTATCTTAAGTCACTTAAAACTGTATCGGTTGTACTCAGTTTTCGTGGAAGACTGAGAAAGAAAACGAAGTTAAATTGTACTGGGAAAGAGTTAATTCAGAATAGATGAGAATTTCAGAAATTGGTTTAAAGGGTGGTTGAAAATTGGAACAATCCTAAGAAGCTGGTAGAATTTCATTGCTTGATTTCTACTTTTCTAAAATGGTGAAATGTGCTACATAACAAGATGAAATACAAAATGTTAATGTCCTAACTAGACTTCAAGTTTTGCCTTAAGCTGTAACTAAAATGTCAGAGAATATTTTTAAAAAGTAGGCTAATTGTATCACATCCTTGAATCTAAGAAGAGTATCAGCAGCAGATATCTGATTGCAGATCTCCTAAGAAAAGGACCCGGAATATACAGAAAATAGTATCTTAAGGAAAAAGTATTCCTCTTTTATTTTCTTGATGATGCCACTCTATGCTGCTTTTATTTTTCTCGTTAAAATTTTTACTTATTTTACAATCGATAGATACTGATTTTAGGACATTTTAAAAGTACAGACAAGCAGACAAGAAGATAAACCATATGTCTAATCCCACCACTTAAAAGGGAAAAAAGTTAACATTTTTATGTATATATCAGACTTTTCTCTCCATACATAGATATGTAAAATATTCTATATATTTTCATGTATTTTAAGTGTTTATAAAAAAGAGAACTAATCTCTTGATTTAATATCATGAACATTATTTCCTACAAATACACTAGACCTGCTTCGTCATTTTCAAAGGCTGCAATAATTTGCATAATCTCTACTTTAGTTATTTTTTTTCCATTGTTCCCTATTATTAACGACTGCAATTGGTATCTACAAATAGCTTTTTTGTTTTTAAACAGCAAAAAGAGCGTTGAAACAAGGAATCTAGGGCATTTACTCTGATAATTCATTATTTATTGAACACTTATTTATTACAGACAATGCATTTACCGGTAGCTGGGAAAAGACAGCAAGATCTCTACTGTTAATCAACCTCCAGTCTCATAGAACAGAAAGGAAAACGCTGAGAAATAGGAAGAGGCAAAACGTTCACCCCTCTTTTTAAAGTTAATCTAGTTTTTAATCAGCTGTGCCCCAATACCAAATAAAAAGTTAATAAAAAACAAAGTTAATCTAGTGTAAAACAAAGTTGCTGGGTCTGTGGCCAGATGCATATACAATTAAAGTCTCTACACTTAGTAAGTGTTAAGTTCATCTATAAAAAATATTAGTCCACAACATCTGCACTAGACACTGTTTCAGGAGCTACACAGAGGGAAAACCCAGACAGAGGCTTCAGCCACTACTCTTGGTTCCAGGAAGAGAGGAAACCCTCTCCCCGGGCCTGCAGGCGCCCGCGCGTGCGCGGGAACAATCCCACCCACCGCCAGGGACCACCACCCTGTACCCCTGACTTCTTCATCCCGTTCTCGGGTTTTGCTCCAGGCGGTCAAAAACAAAACTTCCACCCGACCACTTCCACTTAAAGAAGCCAGCCTGGCTGAGTGTGGCTTTGAAGATCAAATGCAAGGCTGCTTAGCAAGGTGGTCTGAGCGAGGTCGGAGAACAAACTTTGTTATGTGTTAACTTGGTTGGAGCAAAGCGATTCTAGGCAGAATTTAGTTACATTAAAACGGTGCAGTGTTTCTTTCTTTCTTTTTTTTTTGTATTGTTGTTTTAATAAAATCGTCTTAATTGATGAATAAGGAAGAAGGGCTGTCTATTTCAGGACTTGAAAACAGTCATCCAGGATGGTTTCAGCAGGTGGCCAGTCCGGCGCATCACGGCCTCCTCCCACCTAGCGTCGGTTTAGATTACGGTTTCCGCGGCGGCTGGACGGGAAGCATCTTCCACGCTGCAAATTCGCATCAATGGGATTCCCCTCGTGGGAAATGCCCCCTCTTGGCGGACGTGCTCTGCTCTGCAAGGCCGAGCACGTCGCGGCGACTTCCACCCTCCGGTTCTGGGACCAGCGCGTCGAAAGCCCTATCGAGATCCCGAGTCGGCATCCTAGTCCCTCCGCGCCCCGGGTGAGCCGGCACCACCCGCCGCCCGCCGCCAGCCGCCGCCGAGGGGCGGGAGAGATGCCGCGGGGGGCAGGCGCGGCGCGCGGGGAGGGGAAGGGGTTCTCGCGCGACTGGGCGAGGTTTCCGGTGTTGTGACTGAAACCCGTCAATATGGCGGCGATCGGCCGCGGCCGCTCGCTGAAGAACCTCCGAATACGAGGTAAGTCCGCTGCAGCCCTCACCCCTCGCCGCCTGGCAACCGCCACCCCTGGCACTTGCCTCCCCCGGGCCCTGGGCGGAGGGAGCGAGCCGGGGCGTTGGTCGGAGCCAGGGCTGCCACCGCCGGCCTGGGAGCGAATCCTAATTGGGGCTATGTGTCTGTTTCGCGCAGGGCGGAATGACAGCGGCGAGGAGAACGTCCCGCTGGATCTGACCCGAGGTAACGCAGGGCTCCAGCGAGGGCGTCTTCCTGGGGAGGAGCCGGGGTTGGGGGCGGCGGGCAGGGACCGACCTCTCACGGGACCCGCGGGGGTACGAGAGACAGAGCCCGAGCCCGGCCTGCCGGCCCGCGGGAGCAAGCCGGGGGCTGTCTCCCCTGACCCATCCCCCTTCCCGGTGCCCGCTTTCCTCTCCCCAAGCCCCTTTCCGGGCCTCTGGGTGCTGCGGGTGCCCGGGAGCACCAGGCAGGACTCAGCGGAGTCGCCGACCCTCTGGGTTTTCTAGACCCCGGGGGGAGCGTAGTCGTCCTATCCCGGAGCAAGCAGCTGAATCCCAGGGGCGGCCGGAGGGAGGTGGAGGCTGTTATTTAGGTTGCTAGAGGATGTCTGAGGGAAGAGCGACCACATCCTGCCCTCCCCGTCCCCCAGCGCCAAAGCCGGACCTGCTCGGTCCTTTCCGACTGCGTGATGCTTTTCTCCTTGCCCACCGCGCCGGGGGACCCGCAGCATTGATAAGTCGGTAGCGAAACCCAGAGCCCATGATTTCTGCGAAGTGTGTGTGTTTCCCTCTTGTTTCCCCTTCCCGGGCCGCTGAGACTGTAGTTGGCAAAGACCGCCCCCTCACCCTCGCTGCAGGTTCATTGTTTACCTTCTGCAGTGGCGACGGGTTTGTTTACACCTTCGGAACTGGGTAAACCCGGGTTATGTTTTTAAGGACCTAATCCGGCTACTGGCCAGTATATTTTCATCAGTCACCATAACTGGAGTTTATTCGACAATATCTCGCCGAGGATTTGGTAGTTATATACAAGGTTTTTCTTTCCTCTTCCACGGTAAACAAGATTGAGTCTATTGATTCCGATGAAGTCGTTTCACACCCGCTGTAATTTAGCGTGTAACCTGTTCAGCTGTATAGAACCAGTTTCCTTTTTGAGATCTGAAAAACACTTTAGGAAGTTAAAAAAAAAGTCTTTTTAAACATTCTATATAAAAATTTTAAACTACGTTCTACTTGACATAGAGTATTTGTTAGATGCGGGCTCATTGTTGAGGATCATTTCTATTTAAAGCATAGCGCATTCTCTAATTTGTTTTATTTTGTATATCATAATGTAAGATTACTGTTTTGTGGACTGAAAGGCTAGTTTTTAATTTAGCTACAACAAATTTTTGTAACAATATTTTATTCCGAAAGTTCACGGACTTAGTTTCGGGTGAACAAGGTACTTTTGCGGAGTTTCTGCAATAAAATAGGGCTTAAGTAATATAAATGGCAACTAATTAGATCACTAATGCACTAAATTAGAACATTTTTTCAGCAGATAGGGTTTGAATATTAATGTAGAGAGATGTAAAACTTCTGAGTTTTGTGTGTTTGGAAACTTGACTATAACATGCATATGAAAAGTCTATGTGAAATACATGATTTTCTAGTAAATTTCCTAACAAAATAAGCAAGATCCCCACAGGGCTCAATTTAGCATTTGAGTTTTGTAAAAGATGTAGTTTTAGTGATTTAATTTATATATGTGCATATATGTTTTAGATGAAGGTGAGATGACCGTTTATTCGATAGATCTTGGGTCTAATTTGTGCGTTAAAAATCTGTTTGAATGTGGTACTAGAAAATGAATTATACTTGTGCTTTAAATTGACTTTGCTGATCTATATGTAGTGGTTTGTCTGGAGTCAAAATTTGGGGTAGTTTGATACCTTTTGTTTACTCCAGTTTTACTCAAGTACACAGATAGCTGTATATTTACTATTTAGAATGCTATATTCTTTGAGTGTTTAGTAACCATCTGTGTCTATAGGTGTTTCTAGGATAATATCAATACAAAAAGTGCAGAAAACCCTTGCCCTGACAAGATGTATTTCAGTTTAGAATGAAGTATGCACAGCTAGTTGAAACTGATAGCAAAAGCAATATGCAACTAAGAGTGAGAGGACATGTGAGAACTTTTCCTAAATCTTAAGGAAGTTTTGAATAAGAAAAATAATCTGAGTTAGATTCATTGTATAGTGACTCTATTGTTTGAGAAATTGCTATTCTGACAAACATTCATTGTTAGCAGAAGGCTTGTGGATCTAACATGAAGAAAGTTCATGAGGAATTAAGCTTCCGTAATCATTTGAGAACTGTGGGGCAGTCTGGGTTGCAGCTGAAGGGCAGCTGTTTGTGGATTGGATTACGGCATGTTTTAGATAAAGTTTGAGTAACCGAAAAAATTTCTTAAATGCTAAGGCAGTGTTTGCTCTCATTGTCCTTATTTTTATGTAACCTTTGAGAAAGTCATTGTGTAGCTGTCTAACAAAGTTCATTATAAAATAGAGGCCATGGTCATTGTAATTTCTAGAGGAGCCATTAGTGTGTAGTATAAAATCAAATAGTTCTGAGTTGTAATCTCAGCTGGGTGAGTGGGGGCAGTTTATTTAACCTTCATTAACTCTTGGTTTATTCAGCTCAAAAAAAAAAACTAACTTCAGGTTATTCTTGAAGGTTGATAAGAATATGAGAAGTAAATGAACTAGGCCTTATAGTACTCAGAATGGGACCTAGGACTTTGTGAATGATGTTAACTAAATGTTAGTTGCTTTCCTAAACTATGAAATCAAACTTCTTGATATCACATTTAAAGTATTTCAGATGATTGTTTTGAATATTATGAACTTGTTAACCTGGAATCACTGTATTGAAGCTTTCATTTTTTTTGAGACATACAATTAATTGGCTATAATCTCTCTGAACTGGAGTTCTTTTTTATTGTTTTTCAATTTGTTAAGAAAAGCTTCAAAATATATAAATCATATGTGAATACATGAATATAGTAAGTTATAAGAAACTCTTGTATGTCCCCATCACATAGTTTGTTTCCTAGGCCCCCACCCCTACTGTGATCATTTTTTTCTTCTTTTCTTGAGAGATAATTGACATACAGCACTTTATAAGTCCTTGAATATAACAACTGTAAAAAAAACCAAACTGTGACATTACCAGTATTAGGTCTAAGTAAAGAGCAGTCTATTATTATATGTACTTAAGATAAAATGTGGTATTTTATTTTAAAATATTAAATATTCTACTTTATGGTTTTTCTCCGTGATTCCAGAAAATTTCTTGGTAATGAGACTTGGCCATCCTTGCAAGCTTCTTGAAGCCCAGGAGAGGTTTAAGTTTCTTTAGTTTTTGTTTTGATGTTACTGCTATGGTTTGTATGAAAGTGCTTCAGTTAAAAATTGTTTATGGGTTAATTTTGAGTTCAGAAACTTCATTGTAGGAGAACCTATAGTTGATTTATTGGTAATTGTTGCTGTAAGTTTTGTTCAGGCAATTACTCTACTTAATTGTGAAAGTCCCTGATAACTGCTGTTGGTATCATTAAATACTCTCTCTGATTTGCATGCCACAATTTATTTTGAAACCGAAATGCTTCCCTTAACCACTTCCACTGCAAGGATAGTCTTTTTTTTTTTTTTTAATCAGTCCACTAGGGCATCTCTTCCTGGTACTGAATAACTTGAAGAGAGAGTATTCTTCCTGGAATAAGAAACCCTTCCTAGTATAATTTAATTATTGTGTTCAAGGTGAATTACTAGGACATGGAAACATGTATATTCAAATATAACTATTAGAATATAATTTATTAAGTATTGAGTCTTACATATTTTTGACCATTCAGTCCTTTTATTTTTCCATTAAGTAGGAATGAAAAGGTTGACTGTCTCAGCTGCTCTTTAATACTTAGAAAAGCAGGAAGGTTATCTGAATGATGCAGATTTGAACACTTTGTGTTTTGTGATTTTTTTCTAGTTAGGATTAAACTCATGTTTAATCACTTCAGTTAGACGAAACAAACATTTGACGGCTTTTTATATAATAAATGCTGAATTAAGGGCTGGAGGACTAAAGTTGAGGAAGATATTACTTCCTTTTTTGGAGTTTACTGGAACAGATATAAAGGGGTGATTCCAGTATGGAACAATAAATAATCAAGCTCTACAAGGAACAGAAGTAGCCTAGAGGAGAGAATGATTAACACTTTAAGGAGAGGCTCAGAGGCAGCTTCACAGAGGGATTGACTTCTCATAAAATAGTAGTGGACATAGTGGAAGGAAATGTGGGCTCTCATGGAGAATATACCACACCTTGGGAAGAGTAAAGACAGTAGGAAGAGGAGCTACTCTGTAGGCCACTGATAGAATCTAAGAGATGATGGGGCACTGCACCAGGGTATTGGAGACAAATTAAGTTGAATATATCTTGAAATGGATGAACCCACTAATTTTTTTCTCCAAATTCTAAACTGTGGAATCCTCCTACCCTGCATAGAGGAGGATTTTATTTCTTTTATTTCTTTATTATGAAGATGGAAGCTGTCTAATGTGACTCTACTTGTCTTCTCCCCATTATATTTCACCTATACTTACCTTCTGTTTTCTCGAATCAGAGGATAAAGCATCTCTCTTCGTTTCCAAGGCTAAACTGGAAAAGAATTTTATGCTTCTAATTTTGTTTCTCCTAAGATTCTTGGTGAAAGATTTCTTGCTTCTTTACTTCCTGTTAGGTTAATTTTCTCGTATTAAGCAAACATTTGGTGTGTTCTTCCTATGGATCACTTTGCTAGGCATGGGATGATGGTGAGACGTATGGAACAATAAAGACAAAGATTTTTAAAACAGTCATATTTTCATAGGCTCTACACACAGAATAGTTTATCCTCACTCCACAGTTTTCTTTCTTAACTCCTTCAGTCTTATAAGCACAGCTCTCCCCCTGTACTTAAATAGTTTTCTTAAAGGATGCTAGTAACCTCATGCAAAATTCATTGGCGTTTTTAAGTTCCCCATTCTATTATTAGTACTACTACTGTATTAATAGTTTTGTTCCAGACAGTAAAAGATATTATTTTACTTAATCTTCAATAACTCTTTCTGTGCGTGCATGCTCAGTCATGTCCTACTCTTTGCCACCCTATTTGCTGTAGCCTGCCAGTCTCCTCTG